AATAACAATGGACACAGATGTTTTACATATATGCCGAGGTACGTAGGTAATTAAGCATATATGACCGTCAGGGGAATCCCTGCAAATTACAATGATATCCAATAGCTTAAGCCACGGTCAAAACCGAGGTCGTTTCGTTGGCTCGTACCAATGAATTGAGTTTCGGTCAGAGGTTAAGAGATGTCGACACATTCGATGGGACAGCAATATTCCTATACAAAATGCATATTAAATCATTCATTAAAATTTAAACAAACTGACAGCCTTAAAAAGCCAAACGATAACAATATGCGTCATGTAGATGATGAACTGATCTACAACCTATTCTTGGTAGAGCTACTTTAAATGTTGACCAAATCCCTATAGACCGCAAAAATGCATACTAGCAATGGACACATCTATGCGAACGTCATAATGGGCCATACTCGTTTAAGGCCTTAATATCTACCCTGTGGTTTCTACGCATCTTATCGCCGTTCCTGACGCGGCAAAAAGTCAACCCTTGGAAATATTTTATGCACTTTTTCTCTGCCATTATTTCTCATCCGGACGAAAATCACTGATAGGGCAAAATCGTCATGGGAGATCCTTTACATATATGAGTACTATACGAACTATCAATAATAGTATTACGAAATCCCTCTTTTGCCGACTAGACTGTCGGCTCCTTAAACTAGCACCATCTATCTATCTATCTATCTATCTTTACTTGACTCGTAGGCCTACGTCAAATCACATTGGGGTTTGGTATCTCGATCATTCGACCGATACTTTCATCTATGATTAACCATCCCCGTATCTATAGCTTGGTAACGATAAAACTGCTCCTGATGTGTGACCGACTTCCAAATTTCTGTGGCTCTTTTTATGCCGCCACTTCTGCAAGGTTCCCTTTATGTATCTACGTATCGAACCCGCTTGCCTTCGGGTTCCCATGTACCGTACATATACATATACAGCTAACGTAACCACTGTCTTCTGACTTGTTACAAAGTACTTCTATTTGGAGAGGGTATGTGATTGGACAGTACAAACTAGTGCTAAGGTTCGATAGTGACTGTCGGAAATGTCTACCGTGGCCCGGTCTGAGCCTGATTAGCCATGTGAAGTGACACCCTAAACTTGCGCTCGGAAGCGAGGTCCTTGAAGCATGAAATTGAAGACGACAACAACACGCCTATCGTCGTTGCTGCCACCGGTGGAAATAGAAGCAGTTGCCGCTTACAGACCGTTACTCGGTTCCATTAATGCTTCGAACAACACTTTCAAGTAAAGGAAGAACAAAGTAATCGCTCAGAGTCGTTCTCTTTGACCGAAAACCCCAAACCGGTCCACTGTGTTAACAGTGGTCATTCAGCGAATAAACAACGGCGATGAACTCATCAGGTGAATGCGCGAAAAATGCAAGTAAATGCTTTGTGATAGGGGATCTAAAGTTTAAACCAGTACGACCACGAACCCTGTTTGCAGTAGGTCTAAGAAGGAATTGCGACATTTCCGGGAGACCGGCTACAGAATGATGGCAGAAAAGAACCTGTTGGAGATATTTTTGAACACAGAAGGTTCAAGGGCATAATTAATTATCTAAATAGAAAAGTCCGTTCTGCATAGGCCAGAGATGTTCAATACGCTCTCATTTCGTTGTAGTGGAACGTAGACGTATGGTTTAAAAGGTCGAGGCCGATTTCTGCTGTCACCATACGTACTTTGAAGTGGCGTTCCGCGTACATCCTATAGCCAAACTATAAACTGTTTAGGTTCAGTAACTCTTGATATCTAAAGTCGCTAAGCCATGGCTTACAGCGCTAGGTGGCCAAACAGGACGCTTTTTTCGAGCTTCGGTACGTCTCTAGAAGGGTGGCACTATACGACGCAATCACCTGCCTATTTTTCTTTGAACTCATAACAGACAGGCGTAGCGATATTGAACAACTTAAAGCTTACATAGAAGCCGTTGCAAAAGGCAAAAGTTAATACCAGCTATCAGCGATTCGTTCGCCAGACCTACACAAATTTGAATTATGTCAACAGAGGAGAAAATTATATGGATTCGACTTCAGCACTGCGCACGTTTCGATCCGGACTGAAACGCTAATATTGGCAACGCGATATGATGAAAGAATAAATTAACATGAAAAACGCTGGATTGGAGAGAGTTATATTGACCGACGGGACTTCAACGAGTCATAGAAAAATGTTTGACAGACTACCTTGGTGGTAGTGTACCATCTGCACACAGAAGATTATTTTTCCTATGCCCATTGATGATATTTCACTGAGCTATGTGCATGTCTAGTAAGTTCGCAGCATCGACTAATGTGTTACCACGACCAGTCCTGCATTTCATTGTCTACAGGAAGAGCAATAACGGTAAAATGATAAATTGCATCAGGACGAGCGGTTTGTTAAGAACGTGCATAGTTTTTATGGTTCAAATCGGGTAGCCAGATGGATACTATAAAGTGTATGCAGATAACTTACTTCATTTGCTGTTGGTGTATACGAGCGATGTCATCATATCGATGGTAGTTCGCTCCAAACAGAAGCTGGTTTTCTAACCACTCAACATGTATTGTCAGCTGGTTCTGCGAGTCAACATACGGCGATAATTGCTCACGAAGCTACAGGATGAACGAGTTGAAAGCCCATGAAAACAGAAAAAAAAAGACGCAAATACATCACAGAATTTTGCGCAAAGTTACTTCATGTTATCTGGGCTTGTTACCAACAGTCGATATATAAACACTGACCTTAAGCGCTTTCTTTTGCGAGCCATTTATTATTAGCCTGATTATACGAGAGGTTGCTTTGCTATTTATCTTCATGTTCCAATAATTTAATTACCTGGGCTATGTATTTCAGCACTTTATATCTTTGCACAAAATAGATCTATTAAGCATTAATCAACAACAGGTAACTGATAATAAAACCTCTTCACAATTCGGTTTGCAACTCTCTTTGGCTTGAAATCATCATCTTGATGAGGCTCTGTAGTAGGGACAATAGAACTGAACCTCTTCAATTTATCAGGTGCTTAACGGAACCTTCACACAAGAAATAACTTACATGCATTGGCTTCTCCGCGATTGACAGAGCGTTAACTAAGTTTATTCTTCAAGCGGTTTATGGATAAAGGCTCCCTCATTTTAACAGATGCCCAGATACGTAGATAACTAATTGTTTTTATTAACTACAATAGGCCTTCTACTTAAATGTCTCCATTAGGATTGCAAAAGTTTAGTTTAAATTTTAGCAGAACCTAAACACGGATTCCACTGCAGAAAATGACACGCTTATGCTCGACACTAAGCGCAGATTGACGCTTTACTATGTTATTGTCAATTGATTTTTGTTTGTTTTTTTACCTATCCATTTATCAATATATTTAATAATGTATTCTTCAGGGAAAAATATGAAAGCAAAGTACCTACAGAGGTATTTTTGAGAAGTGTTAAGTTTTGGTTAATATCACACACGTTCTTACATTGCCCTTTGCCAAAATTCTATCTTTCACGGGGAATGGATAATGTCCCGTGTGCAATTAGATGAAAAAATACAGTTATCGCAAACACTGGTGCCGGAATCTTTTGCTCACTTCTTGTAGCCGCTTTGTGCGCAACAGAGCGACGTGGCAATGGTATCTTAACAGAAAATGGTTTGTTATGTGTCTTATACTCACGAATAATACAAATGCCCCTTCCAGGAGATCGTTGTCGTGCAAAAAAAAACCGCTCGATCGTAGTTAGTTATCCGTCTAACGTGGACTAGTAGGTCCGGTACCCGCCGCAGCATTTTAACTAGCCGTTAACTCAAGTGCGCTAACTTCGTTCAACTTACTCTACACAGTTCGCAGGAACGAAAAGCATTCTGCAATTAATTGTGACACTACTTGAGTGGCTACATAATAGAAAATGCCGCTGGCGGTTTAGCGTCGTTTTGACGGGCTCAGCGTGACAGTGGATTATCGAACGAGAGCGTATCTCGCGCAGATGGACATAATGACAATATGCGGACCACCTTGCCGTGGATAACGCCGTACGCTTACATACATACATGAGTCAAGGGTTTGGAGACTCATAGGAAGCTTTGTTTATTGCACTGCTGGCTTGGAACGGGACACGCCGACTGCTTGAGACGTGGATGTGGCCCCCGACGCCGATAAGTCGATCGGTGAGCACCGCTGGAAGGAAATTACAACACAATAGGTAGCTAATGATGACAGTGCCTGTGCAGGTGCAGAAGCCATCGTTGCTGCTCATGTTATTGCTGCCATTGCCGCCGCCACCGAAGTCCGACGGTGGCCAGCGTCATCCGCTAGTCGCTCGCCGGTGTTGCGTTTCGCATGATCCGTTTAGGTGTACATGTAAACATTATAATGACAGTGATGATGACGGTACGCATAGCGATGGATCGTGCTGGCTGTAACAGTGACAGCCATTGTCGAAAGTTGATAAAGGCCTTTTGTGAGCTTTGCCAGGCAACGCCCACAATGTTGGATCAAGGATACCAACACTGGAGGACTCAACAAAAGTATAAAAGGGCTGCTGTTCTTGATAGTAAACTAAAGCGAATTTTATAGGATTTGAGAGACAATCAATAATATCTGATATTTGCTCTGAGTAACTTTTATAGGGATGTATTGCAGAATACAGAGAGGTTCGAGAGGCTGCTGTGGAAAGCAATAAGTCAAAATGAATTTTGCAATAATGCAGGGCTTGTTTGTCGAAAGCGTTAGCTGCCAGCTGCTTCGTCACAAACTTGCGTTGCATATTGATTTCTTTATTGAACAACTGCCATTTTAAAAAAAAAGGCTACTTTTTTTCTTTTAAATAATTGTTCCATTAACTAAATTGCAAACAAATTTCTTTGATTCATTTACTAATTACATTTACGAAATTTAATCAACAGCTGTAAGCGTTATCTTCCGCCAGTGGATATCAAATCCCATTTGCTAATATGTAAACACGGGTTAAGGGGCAATGCTAGCCTTTTAGGTATTTATAAAGACGCGCCAGTTTGATATTCGCTAATGGTAGAGTACAGTATAAAATCGATTCTTAGAGAAATATATTGGACGGGTCTGGAGTGCACACATCCGTGAAACGTAGACGCCGATGATACTTTCAAGTATTTGCCATACTGACCTTATATATTATGATTTATTTATTAATGGGACGAAAGAAGCATTCTGTGAACGGAACAAACCAGAGCTGGTTTTCTTGTGTTACAAATGTTACACCGTCTTATATCAGGTACTCGTCCTCTGCTCGCTTGCAAGCCCGTAGACAAACTGACTAATCCTTGCTACGCTCAATGCGACCAAAGGTCTCTTCGCTTGTTGTACAACTCATCCATATAAAGATAGGCCCGTCGTGTCTTTACAATTATTTTGCATGTGTATATATATGCATATAGATATATATATATATATATATATATATATATACTACAGGCTCAAAAACCCGCTCATATTCCTTGCTAAGTTCATTATACATATTTATTATTTTGATAATCGATATAAATATTTATTTTGACCAGCCGTTATCGATCTCGGCTTAAGCTTTTTAAAGGTGTTTCGTCGATATGGCTGGCGTTGACAGTCAGCGGTATTGGCAGATCGCTTACGGCGTGTGCATATTAAAGTGAAAACGATTCTTCTTCTCTATCGAATATGATAGGATAAGTTATAGGATTGACGGCTCTAACGTGGAAATCTTGAATTCATCCGATGAAAATAAAAGTATTGATAAGTCCATAAGCCTCTTTTAAAAACACCATTTTAGAATCTCCCTTTGAATGCAATCTCCTGAATAGACGATTTGGTGCGCTCTAGAAAGAACGCTCACTGGCTCACTATTTAATAAAGTTAAACGTGTAGACAAAAACGAACAAGTACTCATCCTCGGACCTGCCCAAAATCGATGCCTGAATAAAAACCCGTTGAGCGAACTAAAGTCCGGCCACCTGCCTGTCTATCTCAGAGCATAATGTCTTTTTCATTTAAACTGAGGAAGCCGAGCGGCGCTAGAACAGAATGTACAATGTTGGCAAAACGAAAAAATCAAAAGATTGGCTATTGCTTGGTGTTTTGATATAGGAATTCATGTAACGAAATACATAGAAACATGGGTACGGCATATGCTCAGTTTACTGCTGCGACCCATTTTACCTCTAGAAATACGTATAGTTTTAGCGCGCTGTGATTTGAACGTAAATACTATTCTACAGGCAACTAGCCTGAAACTAATCCCAGTTTATATTCAGCTAAAAAAGAAATTATATTGATTATTGCATTTGTAATTAGTCTTGCTTGATTAAATTGCTTGAATAAATGCTCTCTTTTAAGAACGCAATCTTCGTTCTTAAAGAATTAAATTTTGTATGTGTAGCATAAAATCGTAGGTTTCAAGGAATAATATCTCCAATGTTGAGCATTCGTTTTTTTTGTTTTTTCTCAATGTTTTACTTAATCTAGTTGATGTAGTATCAATGTGGGCTTAAGAAGAGTAGACCGGACGCATATCACCATGATATGGGTAAAAAGAAGACGTCCCAAAAGACCGAATTTATTTACCTCAATTTTTTTGCAAAAAGTATATTTACCACCCTTGTCGGTATGTCAACGTCGATGAGCACGCCTAGGTCCATGCCGTCCTGTACGTAATAAGCCGAGTGAGGGGCGTTCACCGCCAGGACACTCTCTTTCCCGCCACCAGGTGGTGCTCGGATCACATATCTATAGAGAACAAGTCATTAGGAGGGTCACTGAGTATTGTGACCCATTCACTGAATGTTAAACTTCAAGCAAGGTTTAAGAAACCGACATGCTTTATATGTACATATTACGTTCAGAAAACTGTTACACATGTGCACAAGGAAGGGTATGAATGCTTTGAGTTTGACGTCCGATACTTAAGTTGCTTTATACGACTGGCGTTCGGATCGTGACGATCACGTGTCCTTAAATTTAGTAAACAAATATATGGTTATAATACGTACAAAGTAGGTGTGACTTCTATCAGTCTTGGAGTCATGATTAAGCAGTTCGGGCTTGTATAATTTCGGAATATTGAGACAACGAATTCGAGAATCCCAAGGGGGACCTAGACCTCAATTAGTGTACTTATTCTATCGTACTTCATACTACAGTACGTTACATCGACCCGAGACGATATATGTGAAGTAAAAAAAAAACACCTTTGTCAACGGGGTCCGTAAATACAGAAACGTCCGTTGACACTATCTCGTAACCTAAAACCGTAAAAAACGTTGTGCTCGGCAAAGATCATGGCCAAAATTGCTCGTTGAAGATGAGTTCTTTGCTGACATTAGTATTAGAAGGTTTTACACTCTCTTTGCGTAAAGAGCCGATGGTGTTGCGCGTCTCGTACTGTAGAGTGAACTTACGTGTTCCAAGCGACGTATCGTAAATGGTTACGCGGAACGGCTCCCATATCCGCATAAAAAAGCTGAAAAAGTAAGAAGTAAAATCCTATCAATAGGCTTCGATTCGAGTGATAATTTTATACGCTATTTTTATCCACACATACCCAAATCGGATCACACGTCCTTAAGGATATAGTGCAGATATTTGTCAGCGCCGCAATAGCGTTTTCACAAGTGGCTGTAAGTGTAGGCGTGTAATATATTATGCAATCAGGCTACATACAATATGTATGAGTGACCGCAACGAGCCGTATTTCCTATACGTTCAAACCATTCCAATAAAACTTTTTTTTTTTTAAATCAATGTGTAAAAATATACCTGATTGGATTTTAAATGAACGAGATATACCTTGAGTCTTAGGTAGTCTCTCTCGAAATCAGCCTCAACTGTCCACGCTTGCTTATCCCGATCATAACAGTTCGCTGTTGATGAAGGCGATAATCCGCCTAAACCAGCTAAGCCGACAATACCTAAAGGTGGACAGTGTAGCTAGTTAGAAAGAAGACACATGCCAGTTTAATTAGGAATCCAAAAATCAACAAATTTTCATTACGTAAACCGACTAGAGTATAACGTGCTGGGAATAGATGAGAAGAGGTCTGAGGTCTAGCATCTTGTCCTTCCAGTGGTAGAACCATCTGCCTAGTCAATTATATCCAGATCACCTTTTTTCCAATGAGCGTAAGATCTTTCCGCTCGTGCAAAGAGCGTTCGTTCCATTTGACGTCAAAGGTTGTTCTAGAGTATCTCTGTAGAAGTAAAGCTAAGCATGCTTTGGATCAAAGCAGAAGATAAATCCCTTTATCTATGAAGAAAATAACCACCTCGCTTTGTCGAGTTTTCAAGCAGAAAAATAAAAATAATCTATTCGATGAAGAACAAGACGTGTCATGCTATCTTATTTATTTCAGGAACTTCATTTTAAAGATGGCAGCTTGTTTTTTCTACGGTAATAAAGTTGTCATATATGTACTTTTAGGCGGGTAACGTCCAGTTAGCTAGTAAGTTTTAGAGATTTTATTGAAGATCGCCAGTGTGTGTAAACCAAAGCGCGGACGACGCTTTCCAACAGAGCATGTATATAACCGCGAAATATGAAGTAGCATTAAATATGGGCTTTGAATCGACCGCAAAATATATACAGGTGCCGAATAGCCAAAAGTATTTCAAAAGCGGAAACTTCACAATACAAAAAAATTAATGGCAAAGTGACCGACGCCGCCTTAGATTAAATCCTGCGGTATAAAGTTTTAGAAATCGCGCCTCGACGCGATCGCAAATTTCTTGCATGCTGTTATTTCAAACAACGGCAAGTGTCGTTTTGTACATTTTTGCTGTACATCGACAAATTCGAAAAATCGTGATCTCCTCGCTCTCTCTTCTGTCTAGGGCCGCCGGGAAAAGCAAACCAAATGCCTGTGGGCCCGATGACATTCTTCACATTTTGCTGGGAATAAATCAAGAGACACAAATCAACAACTCGTAGGCCCCTTTGTATGTACCTGCACCGCTCCACACAGAACGGGTGCGTTTTCTCGACATTCGCAGAAGATTTTTTCGTGCTGCTTCCGCTGCTGGTGTGACTGTTTATGGCTTGTTTTTAGGGATGTAAGCCATTAGATATTTTCAACACAGTATTTAGCCGCGAGCTGTGTCCTAGCATTGTTCATAGACGATACTACACCTCGGGGTTAGAGGCCCTCTCGGGTGCATAACACCTTAGCCACCTGGAGCAATATTCAATAATATTATCGGATGTAGAATACGAACTTTTTATTTATATAGGAATATGGGATCAAGCACATCAACAACTGACAATCGCTAAGCGATTGTTGAGTTGCCACATCCTTTCATTACAACTGTCATAGTCGTAGATGGTAGGAGGGGTCACGGTTCGATTTTTGCCTATCACGAAAAAAAAGCGCGCCTAGCGGTGGTTTTGACCACCCTGCTGCTTTCATTCAAGGGACCAAGGTTCCTGAGCCACACTAAGTAGCAACTGTACAGGTCGCCCCAGATTATTGATGGTGTCCTTAGTGGCCCACCGTTCTGTTATTATCATTATCATATTATTAGTGGCTGTTTGCGTCACGGCTGGTCAGCTAGTCGTTTACAAATAATAGCAGTGACCAGCGACAGTCAACGCTCAGCCGACATCTGATCAGAAGCCATCAGAGGATCCGAATAGCGCGACAAGTTTGATATCTTCGCTGTGCAATTTTGGCAAAAGTTTAAATTACGCTCTGCCTCCAATAACTAGCGCAGTCTCGATACATCGAATGGATTCTATAGATAAGCACCATGGCTATAAGAGGAATAACGAAGAGGGACAAATACAACAGTCATAAGCTTCGGACCCTTATTGAACTGCTCGAACGGTTTTTCTTTACGTCATGCTGCGTCAAAGTAAAATATGCGGAAAATTTGCAAGCATTTAGTTGAATTAACTGAAAAAATTACATATATATATAGGTTGAAAATTATTTAGAACATAAAGCGAGGGCAATCTTGTGAGTGTTTCGAATTTCTCTGACGAGAAGCCTAATGGATAAGATGTCGACTTGTTTAGTAATGACGAATTCTGCGTGTACCTAAGAATTTTGAGAAGTAGACAGGTGCCGCGATGCAAAAAGCAGTAGTCACTCTAGCCAAGGGGGCACTCACCATGCAACGCTAGGCCTTCTGCATAAATTAGGTGCAAACGATAACAGATGTCGACGGGATAGTCAGTACATTGAGTGATGGAAAAAAGACTTTAGATAAGGTAGGTAATTGTAGTTATTACACTTTGTTTTTACGATATGTTATACACAAGATTTTTGTACAATCGACTCAATGTAGTTTTTAAATGGCCTTTCTCAAGAAGCAGTAAGACAGAATAATACTATATAATGTAATAGCTATCGCTTTGTCATGGCTAGATAGGACCTTAATATTAAGACCGTTTGAGCGATTTGAAGGCTGAGCGCATTTATTCTAAACTAGTTACACGTTTGACCTCTATGTTTAAGGGCCTTAAGATTAATGACGCGAATGGCATTTTAATGAGGACGTGTTGAGAGGGTTTCTAAGGACTTTCGTATGTGTTAGCCTTTCTTGATATTGTGCAAGTCTGTAGCAGGAAGTTTCCAAGTTCACTTAAGCGCCCGTGAATTGTAATAAGATAGACCGCAAAGCGATAATGAGTAACGTTTGGCGCCGCAATACTGGTATTTACAATGTTAATCTTCAATAGCCTACAAACGTATGATTGCGTTGTCTGTAACCAATTGACTTTCAGGACAAACGTCAAGGTACAAACATTTTCAGTTGAAGGCATGCTCGGGTCGGCCTGAGCAGTAACTTCAATGCGTAAGACAATAACTTATATGGATTGTCGATAAAGCTTTCAATAGAATTGTAGAATAATTTTGAACCTTTCGTGTTTGCTTCGCAGCAGGTTTTCTTAAGGTGGCTACCCCTGCAATTGCTTTCTAGATAATGACCGTCCTTCAAAGTCGTAGCTTAATATGCTTTATTACTTAATTTTAGCGAAAGGTTTAGCTTGGACTGCGCTAGTCATCTGCGGTTATTACTCGAAGGTCCTTGAATAGTAACGATCATAAAAATATAGTAATCATGCTTTTGAAAATCCAGAAATCGAGTTATCCTTGAATCGAATATAGCTGGTGGTCGAGCGAAAGTCCTCCTTTGGATACCCGAACGACCGAGGCCCAGTTCGATTTGATTCGATCCTGTACATTTCTAGATACACGGAAAAGAGACCACAGACCCTTATATACGAGGCTTATTGGCGACGCAAACAGCGGAGCAAAGGAACTTCGATCGAATATTAACGTTTGTGCATTTACGCCTATGATTTGTGTACTTAACATGTATAATCTAGTTGAAATTGTATAAGTGATTTTATCGAAGGTTTTGTACAGCGGTACTGTACGATTTGGGACGTTTGATCAACTACGAGTCGAACAAAACCAGAAGTGCTTAGATTGTTTTTATTGTTATTTACCTCATGCAAAGACCGTCATCTTTCGACAACATACTTCTAACTCACCCTGCTGCATATTTATGTTATTGCTCTGCTGGGGTGCAATGGGAACTTTCGCCTCCGAGATAACGTTAGCCGAAATCATTTGCAGGTGCACGTGTAGTTGACCGGACCTGGGCGACATCAACTCTTTGATCGAACCACAAATACCCTGTCAAGAAAATATAATATATATCTAGATTGCATCTGTTTTTAAATTTTTTTTAAATTCAGTAAGATCTTCGAGAGGGTATACACCAGTTATACTGGCTTGCTCTATATACCCACTGGATGTTTATTCGCCAACGCTATCTCCGAAATACATGAGTTTGTGTAAATTCCCCTAACCGTGGCGCTTCTGTGGCCCTTGAACTGTCTACAAAAACACGCCTTTTAATCAGGCCTACTTTATATATCTTATTCTATATATTCTTAAAAGATATATTTTAAAAATATATCTTTTTAAGAAGCAAAACCTTCAGAGAAGTAAATATGATAAGCTTTTCCATATCTATCCTTTCGGTCAAGAAGACTACAGCTAGCTGTGTTATGCAGGCATTTTAGGCGTGCGAAGGAGTCGTTAATTCAGAGTAAAGTATAAGGACGCTAATTTTTATACGAGGTGTGATAGGATCATTTACAATATCATCGGAAATAAACGTCTAGAAGAAAAATGCTGACATCTAACTGTAAAAGCAAGACATGTGATCGCTATTATTCAAACTATAACTATCAAATGAACGGGCTTGCTTTAGACGTATTACGACGCTTCAATGCGACAGGATTCTCAAGACCGTAACGAATTTTATAAATTGTAGTTGCTAGATCGAAGTCGTTGTTGCCTATTTTAAGGCCACAAAAACGATGACGTTATGATCGATACCCTTTAATCGTGACACGGTGCAAACAAGGATTAGTATTCACGTATGAGAGTATTCACGCAGGTTGCAGCACGGTGACTCGATCTTGAAAATGGCAGGCACTTGTTAGGATGAGCGACAAATATGGAAATAATATGGTCCAGATCTATTCACTGGTACAGTTGTTTTTAGGAAACGTTTCGAGAGCTTAAAATCGCTTGTTCTAATTGTTGTATTGAAAATGGACAGCTATGGCATCTCGGAGTTTGATAGTCACTTATAGTTGGCTATGCTTACCTTTAAAGGGAACCCGCGTATCCGTCCAGCGAGGTCTGAGATTTGATCCAGAAGGCCCGATTCAACCGTATTTTTGCCACCGCCTAGGACCAGTCGGTACTGCACACGGCACGGATGCTCAAATCCTGAAATGCATCAGCAATGACTTGTACCACATATTTTCTTGTATTTTTTAACTCGACAAACGAGATTATTGCGACGATTGAGTTCCCTCTATTCTATAAGAACGGCGCTTAGATCAGAAATGATGACTACCGCTGTTTCCCCTGAACAGTAGCGTCAACAGTCTCCCTCACCCAATTTTTCCCGATTTTTTTAAGACGATGAGGCTTTTGATGCTAAACTTCTCCGCTAGCGAAGATATTCGAGATCTCGATGTCACCATTTTTTTTTTTCAGAACGTATCCTATGCTATGTACACATTGCCATTTCATTTAGTGATTTGAGTACATTTTGGCAGTAAATAACTCTAATTATCAAAAGATATATTAATCGTGTAACGTTTAGGGTAGCTACGTTCGGTAGCATCCTTGCCCCAAACGATTATAGCAATGCAAGTCTATATCTTTACTTCGTTTTCGTTTATTGAAAAAATTATTTGCCTTCTACTTACGTGTAAAATAATTATGCTATCATGATTTCGATACATTTTCAAATTATGTTTATGTGAATAATAACCGAAAAGTAACCGCAAAAAAAATACCTTTTATCCGAAGAAATTAAATGGTACAGATAAACATTGAGATACACATTATTATCGCTGTTTAGTTAAGAAATATCCGGAACGAAACAGCGACCAAGAATACGAAAAAAAAAACAGTTTGTCGGAAAATATCAGGCGCGGAGATAGATAAACCGTAATCTCCTCTTAGGGTTCTATAGACTACGACGAGCTTCAAACTTCTTGGTATAGAAACATGTTTAGATTTAGAAAAAAAAAGCTATGCTAATAAGTGCAGCGTAAACTAAACGTAAATTAAGTAAGTAGGAAGACTTCATTCCATAAAGCTAACCGTTTTCGCGAAAAATTTTATTTTCACTTTGCTCATAGACGAGCAGAAAAAGCAATACTTCTCTCCTGGTCGAGCTACGTAAACCTATCCACCATTCATATAACAACTTCTTGCCGCCGCACAGTTTAACTTGGCTCGTTTACTTAGAAGGCTGGCATTTATGATGGACAAAACTCTACCCGCATTTAGATAAAAACGTTAGAAAGAAACTATTGTAAACCACAAATTTCCATAAAAATGTAAACTTTGCTTTAAAATTCAGTAACGACTACTTTATGAAAGATGCCTGCTCTCACACGGTTACCGCGCTCCTATTATCGAAGTGTAACTGATTTGGTATTGTTATCATGTGCCAACTTGTTACAGTTATACCGTAGTATATTATATTGCGTTATACAGACGCGATCAAAAGGAAAGAAGTGTTAGGTGCCTGGTCAAGCCGCAACATATTGCGGTGTCCTAGTTAGCAATTAAATTACCAGGTATGGCAAATTACGAACTGTAGTACGTACGGTCAAAGATACGCACCTATTAGCCGACAGTACAATGCTCATCTACTTAGCAGTTTTGCCTGCAACGAGGTAACTATCTTACCAGTCTATCTGCCCTCGTTCGTTTAGGGTCAATGAGAAACACTTCCTTCTACCTATTTTCGGCTTGCATCCTTCTACCTGTTAGCCGTGTGGTGAACTATTTAAACGATACTACTGATCCAGTCTAGGCCTTCTTTGTCCACTTTGCCTCGTAACGTTGTCGCCAATTGGCACGAGTGGCCTGCGTCACGGACAGGTGAATTTGAGTCTAGAGCTGGTGTCTACAGTCGTACGAGGAATAAGACCCATGGAAGAAGAATAGTCTGCCAGCGTTGCCTTATTAGGAGACAAAGAAAAAAATGGGTAACTAGACTATTCTATCTCATTTGGCTTGAAACAATGAAGCAAGTTATAGTACTGGCCAGGTTGAGTTGGATGCAAACGGCATATATGTACCTAGATCCCATGAATGTGTATAGGTTATTTATGTATGTATATGGTGCTATTTGACAAATATTTTCTCCTAAGAATTGCAGTAGGGTTATTTGAATATATCTAGCTTCTGACAAAGGTGAGCCACATATGCTGTAGCATATATCGGTAAAGCTATGCAACAAGCACTTTTGCATTTGACGAGTTGCAGGCCCATGTCAACAAGAACGCGGCGGTACCTGATGAGTCAGCCTAAGTCTCGTTCTATATGATGACAAACGGGAAACGACCAAAATGATAAAAGTCTGTTCCGGGAAACTGTTGGGGGAGCCCACAGTTACGGGTACCTAACTGTCCTCGGCCTTCATTGGCCAAGACGGGAGCCATGTGGGAAAAGAAAGAGATCCTGACTCTGCAATTCTTGAAGGTCAAATGATGCCTCGCGAAAATGAAAGTTCGAACCGAGTAAGGCCTATTTCAGTAGATCCGAAAGACAAAGCCAGCCAGGATGAAAACCGCTATTGGCTAT